GCGGGAGCTCAGGCGGTTCGGCCACCAAGCCAGCCACTCGGGATGAGCGGGTTCCTGCAAAAGAATGGTCCAAGATCACCTCCTTCAAGTACTCCGGTCCCCGGCCGTGTCCTTTCTACAATTGCTCCCTCGGCTGTCGATTCGGTGATCAATGTAAGAACAAGCATCTATGCGTGGAGTGCGGGAAGGAGCACTCCTGGCATGGCAATCACTGAAAGGGGGATCCCCCCTCGGAGGTCATATCTCGCCTCCGGGGGACTTTCAACAGGAGATACCCCAACTCGGTCACCGGAGTGGCTCTCTTGGGCGGATGTACCTACGGATCCATGGCTGGTGGCTCAACAAGGGCCATTCTTTCTCGAGTTGTTCTCTGGCACGGCTGGGCTCACTGCCGCGGTCCGCGCCTTGGGAATCCCGTGTTCTGCCGCCAGTGGACATCACGCCATCCGAGCAAGTGCCCTCTCCACGTGATCTGTTAGACGCTGACTTCTGGGAGTTCATCGTGAAGGTCGTTCACCTCGGCGGCATCTTTTTCGTCCACTGCGGGACGCCTTGCAACACTTTTTCAGCGGCTCGCAAATTGGATGGAGGCCCGCCTCCCTTGCGGTCCGAACACGAACCCATGGGTCTGACGAGGCTTTCGCCTGACAATGAAGCCATTGTGTTGCTCGGTAACATGTTCTTGCTGCGGACGGCCGAGATCTGTCTCGCCGCCTATTGGATGGGAGGCGACTTCTCGATCGAGAACCCCCTCAAGAGTCTCATATGGGTCACTCCTGTGTGCCAGGAGTTGAAACACCGTTAGAGATCGACTTTGATCAATGTGCCTTTGAAGCTCCGTCTATGAAGCCAACATGTTTGCTCGTTTCCTCGGAATTCTTTGCCGTGCTGCGGAGAAAGTGTCCTGGCGGTCATGCGCACGATGTGCTCAAGGGCCAGATCTGGAATACGGCGCTCCAACGCTGGGTGTTCAAAACCAAACAAGCCCAAGTGTACCCAGTGCTCATGTGTGCGGCCATGGCGGACGCCATCGCGGCCGTCTACAGCAGTGATCTCCGACAATTTCACAGTTCATTCCAGCTCACCATCCCGGCAAGTGATCGGAAGCGGGCACTCGGCTCGTCCACTACGAAGCCCATCCATCGGCAGGCAGGCTCTGCCAAACTTGCTCAGTTTGCAGGCTACCAGATGAAACGAGGTGCTCTTAAACCACTGATCCAAGAGGAGCTTGAACCGGGGAGCGCGATCGAATGGGTGCTTCGCATCCCGCACCCCTTCTCCGAGATCTCCACTCTTCCACTGGATCTACGTCAGGCGATCGAGGCAGTTGCGGCGGATCCCGCTGCCACTTTGGCTGCTCGGGTCCAGGCTTTGACTTTTTGGGAGGCTGAGGCTCATCGCTTGCTGCCCCTGACTGATCAGCGCCTGCGCTCTATTGCCGATCCCTGGCTACGCTCCTTGTTGCGAGGAGTGGAAGATCACGAGCCCCCGGCTCTGGGCAAGACTTGTCACGTGGAGCTCTATCGGGCCCTCCTCCGGGCGTGTGACTCTGTGGACCAAGCTCTGCCAGACTTGCTGGCGGAAGGGTTTCCGAGCGTGGGCCCGATCTCTAAATCTGGGCGGTGGCCGCCCTATGACAGAGATCAACAAACCTTTTCAGTTGAGTATGCTCTCGAGCGGGCCTGGGTCATTCGCAAGAAGATCATCAAGAGGGTGGCCTCAGTTCCTGTGACAGAGAACTTGAAGAAGATCTGGGAATCCACCATGGAGGATGTGAGAGAAGGTTCGTCAATTGGCCCTTTCCGTTCAGAGGAGGAAGTCACGGAAGTTCTCAAAGCTGAAGACTGGATCCCCACCCAGAGGTTCGAGGTCGTGCAAAAGAACGAAGTTCGTGGCTGTGACAGCGCTACAACTAACTTGATCAACCAGATCACGGTGATTCAAGAAAAGCTGCAGCTCCCCTCCACAGATCTGAACGTGTCAGCGATCCGAGCACTGCGATCGGCAGCACCTTGGAAAGATCTAGGCGGGTGGGTGCTCGACGAAAGGAAAGCCTACAGGCAAGTGGCGATCGATCCGAAACATCGGAAGTTTTCTGTTATTTGCCTAAAGGATCCTGTTGAGGCCGCCCCCAAGTTCTTTGTCATGATTGGCCACTCATTTGGCCTGGTGTCCGCAGTGTATAATTATAATAGAAGATCGGCAGCAATTAATGAGTTCCTAGTGAAACTGTTTAAGCTCGTAGCTTTTAGCTTCTATGATGACAAGTATGGCTTTGAACCGCTTGAGACAGTCGCCAGCGCTCGTCTGACGGCTGAATGCATCCACCTGTGGCTCGGAGCTAAGAAGCTCCAACTTTGTAGAGATCCGACGATCCTCGGAGTAACCTACGATCTAGAAAAGTTTGTGCTCCTCATCAAGGCCGAACGGAAAGCTGAACTCATTGACGAAATCGACTCGATCCTGAGTTCCGGTCTGCTGGATCCTGGATCGGCAGGTAAGTTAAAGGGGAAGCTCATGTTCGGCGCCTCACAACTGTGGGGCAAAGTGGGTAGAGCGTTTTTAAGGGTTATCTCCGAGCGTCAATATCTCAGGTTCCCTTGCTCAAACAGTTTCAAGCTCGATGAAGCGTTAGAGGAATCCCTTAGGCAGTGGCGTGTTCTCGTGTCGCACGGTCCACCTCGCCCGATCGACCTGCAGGTGAGGAAGAGATCCGACATCGTGATCTTCACAGACGGGTTCACGCCAGACCCGCGTGAGCACGACGTGAGGCCAGATCGGATTGGAGCGGTGATGTTTGATCGAAGGTTGACATCCCCCATCCAATTTACAGCGATCGTTCCGACTGATTTAAAGTCTAGTTGGCTCGATCGTAAAACTCAAATTGTGCCTGTCGAGATGCTCGCTCCCATTGTTTCCCTCTGGACGTTCCGCGATCGTGCAGTGAATGCCGATCTCATACTTTTGATCGACTCCGAAGCAGTGGAAGGAGCCTTGATCAAAGGATATTCAAGTAAGACGGACGTGTCCAAGTTGGTTTCGGTATTTTGGGAGTTAGCTCTTGATTTGAAAGTTCGCACTTATATCGATCGTATTTCAACCGATGCGAATCCGGCCGACTGGCCCTCACGGGGTGATTTGACGAGGGGTGCGAAGGCCGGTTGGAAGACGAGAGATCCCGACTGGCCCCCTTCATTGCTCCCCTAGATCTGAGGTGCTAGTGATGAGTCGGTTTGGGCCTGGGTGAGATTTCATGAGCTTGATCATAGCTGAGTCCTCTCTTTTTCAGGTGAGGATCTGTTTGTGAGTCCTGTCTTTTGGTTTTGCTTGGTTCATCATTTTCAATCAGGACCAGAGGTTCGAGTTCAGAGATCAAGGGCAGAGATCGTTCACAGACTGAACACTGCTCAACCCCACGCCTGTGAGCAGTCCAAAAGGTTGCGGATTGGAGTGCTCGAAGGGAAAGCCACTTGACCGTTCTAAGCTCAACCTAGTTGTTCAACTGTTGTCGGTTAGGTGGGTTTGGAACAGGTGGGTAACTTGGTAAGATTAGTCCATCGTGTTGCTCTTTTTAATTTTCGGTTGCTGGTGCCATTTTGGACTCAAGGCTTTTTGGCACCAGTGACCCAGATCATTTTTTGCCCAAAACCCGCCCACCCTGTGACATGAGGTTGCAGTGGTGAGGTGGGTGAGATTTCATGAGCTTGATCATAGCTGAGTCCTCTCTTTTTCAGGTGAGGATCTGTTTGTGAGTCCTGTCTTTTGGTTTTGCTTGGTTCATCATTTTCAATCAGGACCAGAGGTTCGAGTTCAGAGATCAAGGGCAGAGATCGTTCACAGACTGAACACTGCTCAACCCCACGCCTGTGAGCACTCCAAAAGGTTGCGGATTGGAGTGCTCACTCGTTTGTTTGATCACGATGGAAGGGAAAGCCACTTGACCGTTCTAAGCTCAACCTAGTTGCTTTTGTGATGCTATTCAACAGCAAAGTAGAGCACCTCTGGAAAGTGATTGACCATCTCGAAGAGGCTGGGCTCAAGTGCCTGTACTTGAAGAATTCACGTAGGCATAATGGTGCTACGAATGTTCCTATGACCGTCACCGGGTAGTTTGGTCCTTCTTCGTATTGGCCAGATTATGTTTGTGCTAGACTCTCGCTGGAGCGTGATGCTTTTGTGCAACCTTCCTCATCGCGCAGCAAGGTCTGCGCAGTGACGGTGCTGTCCATCTCGGAGTTTCTTTCTTTTTTTTTAAACGATATATGATATACGGCCTGTCAATGTGAACGTAGAACCTCGCCTCGCCATTTTGGGTCTGCGTGTGGCTGTCCTGACGTGAAACATAACAAGTTGCCTTGAGTTAGCGGCTTCGCTGCCGATCCTCTAGCGCCCATAACCATGTCTCCGGGTTGCTGTTCCGCTTGGTTACCATGTTTGTGCACACCGGAGCAAAGAGAAATGAGGGTTATGGCAGTTAGCAAGGTGGGAGTGCAGCCGATGCTGGAGGGTTAGTCCCTTTTTGTTTGGTTTTAGAAAAGAGTAATAAACAGTTCATAGTTCATGATTTTTTCCAGAACCGAAGACATATTCTCTACATCAAAGACTGCTGCAAGGCACTTCACCACTTCACAAACCACCACATCAGACACCATCACGTCACCTTTCATCACCTGAGTCGTCGCACTGCTTCACACATTCCTACAGTTTATATACTGTATCTTGAAAGTGCCTCCCACCGGCCCTATTCTACCTGGTAGTGTGACGAAACATTGCGGAGAACCAAGCCTCTGAGCCTCTCAAGGGGAGGATTTGTGTACCGAAGTCGTGCCCTTCATAATGCCCACTGAAGATAGTGATAAGGTTTTTCGTTTTCAAGTATATAATCATTAGATTTGCACGTAGCCCATTTGTTATTTAAAAGGTTCTTTGGATAAGAAACTTATTGCCATGTTAGTGTAAAATGGAACGCATAGCAGTCTCTGTAGGCAACCCAAGCTCAGGTTCCGCTGACACACTTGTCAACCTGGCAGCCAGAGACAGCCAAAACAATGGCGCCTCCAAAGGCCAGGGTGTTGCCGGGTTGGGAAGCGTTGATGCTGTGAATGTGGCCCTGCAGCGATAAGAGCTTGGATGGCTTTTCTAGTCTTCAGGAGCTAGCAAGTGACGAACTGCTTTGCTTAGCAGGACAATTTGGGAAACTATCATATTGGGAGACTGTAACGACTCTCCAGAGTCTCCAACAATGTATATAATTGTTAAGCAATAGTTGACAAGGGCTCAAAGCATGCTTGTCTAGCCTCGATGTGAAATGAGGAATGCTCAGAAGCGTCTGCTAAATGGGAAACAAACAAAGACCGTCCACACTTTTGTTTTATTGGACACATTCTTGATATGTAAATATGAATATATGTATATATACTGTGGATTTCACCGGATAACCTACGAGCCACCTAGTAAGAACCCTGTCCTACCACCCCTGTCCCTGTCACTGTTTTCTGTTGGTCTCAAGCGCCGCGTCCCACCCTCCACATGGCTGCGAGTTGTTGTCCAAAGTTCGAACGGGTTCGATCGGTCAGCAACATTGGAAAATCACAATATACAAACACATTATAACATTATATATAGATGCACATATTACATGCATTGTACAGTATACAGGCACCCCCTATAAGTCTGGGTGTGGGTAATGGTTTAGCCGTGGAAAGGCCGCGCACAAAGTCCTGCAGAATCCTCTCCAGACGGCTGATTGGAACACTAAAAAAACTGAACTTGAACTGAATCAACTCTCCAAAGAAGTGCTCATTGCATCCTGTTGGTTGTGCTATGTGACCCCCAACTTGTGGCAGGCTTTCTCCGGAGGCCATTTTTACCTGGTGGAGAAGCTACCGGAGGCGGGCCCGGATCGACCAAACCACCTGTTCACAGCTCGGCCGTGCACCTGGCCGTACAGCTTGCCTCAGGTTGCCAACTTTCTGAAGACATCTTTGGAGGAGCACCTTTCTTTTCCTTCTTCCTGTTGCCCATGCGGCGCTTCCTACGGCCTGTGGGTTTTTAGGGAGTAAATTTGAAGTCTGAATGCAGTGAAGACATTCCTTGAGAAATCTAGCAGGCATGAAGTAGCCTTCCTGTAGTAGAAGACCATGTAACAAAGTTTTCATGAGTGCATGTGACTGCCTGTTCTCTGTGGCCATCCTTTTGAGGATTCCTTGGCCTCCCTGCCACGTTCGCTGGTTTCCAGTCAAGCCTTGCACACAGATCTTATTGTTATTGCCTGGCCAAATTTCCTTCGCTTCCAAGAAGTAGATTACGTGAGCACTTTTTGAACATCCAAGACAGGGTTGTGTTGAGCTGTGCAAACGGGCTTAGCAGAATCTTTGAGAAAAAGTGCTGAGCTTGTATTAGGTGAGCGTTCCGAGCATTTGCTATGAGAAGCTTATCACAGAGGCAGCTCGCATCAAAGCAGATTGGCAAAACCAAATCATTGATTCGGCCTTGTGAAGAAGTGAGTTCGTTTCCACGCAGCACAGGTCATAGAAGCTTGGGCGGAGGAGCAACCATCCAAGGAGGCTTTAGTAGACCCGCGTGAACGTGTGGGCCTGAGGATCAAGTGGCAGTTTGTTGTAACAAGCTTGTCAAGTAACGCGAACGACATCCTTTTCGAAATCAGTCGTTCTATATTTGCAACTTGCATCCAGGAGTGACTTTTGGTGAGCTGGCCTATCGCGTGCGATTATTGGGTGGGTCTCCTCAGTGGCAAGAGCTGAAGTGGGATGCAACACTGGCTTCAACACAGCTGCCTTGTAATAAATCAAGCATCATATGAATCATATGTCTAATTGGATTCAACTTCCAGGAACAACTCGTTTAGCCAAGGTGAAGAGCTTGCAGGTCCGCGCTTTCTTGATGGTCAGAAGGAGGCTCATACTCATCGGACATACCGGGCCAGACGTCCACTCCTGCTGTTCGAAACTGGAATTGCTCCATGCGGCTCTGCGCACAAATTGCAGAGGCTATGCTGAACATTCTCAGTATTTCTTTTCCACTACTGTAGCCGGAAGAGAGACATAGAGAGACCAAAGACCAGCAAATCAGGTTTCTTGAGTGCAATAGTTGCTGAAAGATGCTACGGTCGGTATATTGAAAAGCTGTCGGTGTTTTCCTGCTTCAGAGGATGTAGAGCTTCCTGCAAGTTCCAAGGAAAAAGAACGTACCAACATACTCTACTTGTTAAAATGCACCGCAAGACAAACGATGCAAATTGTGATTCTGACTTTTGTCGAGATGTGTTGCGGTGCAGGTAGTGGCCCTTCTAATGCCGCACAATTGCAACTACGTGATTGCCATGCTGGGCATTTGGTTTGCCTCAGGACCTCAAACTCGAACATTTCTGGCCCACAGAGCCAGTTGAGCCACTGTTGCGTGGACATCTCTTGTTTTGTCAGGAAAGATCATCATTATTGAGGCCTTAGGGTGGTATTGGTGGGATTGACATGGGCAGAAGGCGATTGAATTGGTTTGGGTTGTGGATTTGTCTTCCGAACTTGAGTTTGTATTGCAAAAAGCATGCGCAGTAGATTGCTTTCGCAGGCTCACTTCCCGGAGGGGATGGTCAAAGAGATTTGCCAGGCCCGCGAATCGGACGATGGTTGCGTTGAAACCGACTGTTGAGTCATGTTTCAGACGGCAAAGCTTCAAATCTAGCTCTGGTACTGGCAGTGTTTGGCTCTGGAAAAGAGGTTCCAGCTGTGGTCCGGCTCATGTCTTTACAGGCCAATAACTTCAGGGAATCTAGATGTCGCAATTGAACCCTCTTCTCAGCATCTACTGCCTGCCCCAAGGGAACCTTTCGCGTCGGCAATCGTCAAGAGAGTTCAGGAAGCCAAGACCGCCGCAGCAGTTGCAAGTCCTTCTCATGCTCCAAAATTTGCAAATGTGGCTGGTTGCAGGACTTTTGGTCGATTTTCATAAATGCTTTAGCCGATACCTCGTTACATTGAAACCATGATGAACATGGAGTAAAAGGACCTATATAGCTCTGACAGATGATTCCAGCTGTTGCAAGTGCCCAAATAGATCGGATGTGGCAGTTGTCAAACATGCATTCAGCAGCTTGTGTGTGCGTGCAGGCATGCATTTGAACGTGTTTTACTCAGGACATTTTCCTCTCAGGGCTTCATGGTAGGTGGCACATTTCGTATGCTGCAACACTAGTTAGTGTGTGTGTGTGTGTCCACTCCTGTTTCCAAGGACACTACCCTAACTCTTTCT